TGGAGCTAGGGCTTTCATACCTCACATATGTAATCTTTGTGACGGATACCAACAACTTTGACCTTGGAGTTTGACCTACTCTTGGAAACCTTTAACCTACACCATTACTTCTGACCAGTTAGTGCTAGGGCTTTCATACTTCACATATGTAGTCCTTGTGACAATGCCTTCCTTTGGATACCAACAACTTTGACCTTGGAGTTTGACCTACTTTTGAAAAACTTTAACCTTAAGCTTGGCCATAACTTTTGAATGGTTGGTGCTAGGACTTATATATTTCACATGTGTATTTCTTGTGAGAAGGCCTTTTCTTCGGCACCATTAATTTTGTCCTTGATGTTTGACTTACTATTGAAAAACTTGAACCTTCTCCATAGTTGCTGCTGGGGTTTTAATATTTCACATGTATATTCCTCGAGACAAGTCCTTACTTTGGGTCCCAACATATTTGATTTGCATTTGAGAAAGTTTAACCTTCACCATAAGTTGCCATACGGGGGCATCAGTGTTTCACAAACACATCTTGTTTTCAATATGACTCCGCTATCCCTTCCAAAATAGCCCCTTTACTGTAAATGGCAGACGTAGAGATTTTAGCAAAATAGTTCAATAAGCATTACTGTTGTTGAATGAACGTGTTCTTCTTATATATCGAAGAAAATGAAATTAAAAGTAAAACTGTGTACACAGTTCATTTGAACGATTTTTTTTTTGGGGGGGGGGGGGAGCGTAGCATAACACCTTCTGGTGAGAGAAAGTCCCAGGATGGACGGGGAAAATTTTTCGAGGTTGTAAACTTATGAAATTTTGTGATGAAATTTTGTTATTCATGTATATGTGAAGGTTTATTTTTTCAACATGGATATAAAAAAGGAAAAATGAATACATTAACCCACGCTTATTCAAGAAGTATCACTTGGTCATGAGTCAAATCATTACATATCTACTTGAGAGCATTTGTAAATATGCGAAAGCCGATCATCTACATGTGTGTAGAATCTTGTAATACGGCACGGTTAATCACCAACTGAGTTGTCATAATTTAGATGTAAATGACCCTCTGCAGACCTGACAATATTAATTTAAACAAGTAAAACCAATTATTCTGTTAAGCATATCTATCCATCTATCTATCTATCTATATATGTATGTATAACTCGTCGTTTCTGTGGAACAACTCGCAGGTGACTTTTGTAAATTATATTAATATAAGAAGAAAAGCAAATTATACATAGATAATTATCATACCTCTACTGATTTTTCACTATATATGAATAAATCGATATATTTTGCTGATTCCCTGAAAATCACCGTAAAAGGACTGATTCCCTGCGAAAAGGTGTGACAATCTGACGAACTGTAGCCTGGTCCCCTGGCTCATCCTTGCCTAGTGATGCGGAGTGTACGAAGCAAAACAGGGACAGGGAACCAGGCTAGATAAACTGATACACACCTATTCGTAACACTAAGCAATTTCTTTAAATTATATGAAAAGTTCCAATGTGTTCCAAATAAACTCATAAATATTCATAACGTAGCTATGTTAATGCTAGCCTGGTTCCCTGGCTCATCCTTGCCAAGGCAGGAGAGCCAGGTGGATAACAATTGATGCTGTCCCTTGATTGGTCAAAACAATTCACGCTAAATCGTGGATTTTTGAGCCATTGCCGTTAACCACAGAAATAAATAATGAAGTCACAATGATACATTGCATCGACGGCGTAGAAAAATGCAACGTCACAATGAACTTCTACACCGGAAGCGCACCTAAATACGACGTCACAATGTGTTCAGATTCAGGGCAGATTCGCCCTGAATCCACTGTAGTCCACCTGGCAGTAGTGACGCGGAGTAAAACGAAGCAAAACAGGGACAAGGAACCAGGCTATGTTAATACATCATATAAGGAGGCGGGGCCTAATTCATACGGGAAATGTTATGTCACTGGCATGGTGACGTCAACATGGTAAACTGATGTGCACTGAGAGCTAGACAAATCACGTAACTTTGTAAACTCAGCTAACTGTAATGTAACCTTCAATTTTACAAAGTAATTCAGACAAAGAACTATTAAATTATTTAATGATAAAATGGAATTTCTTCAATGACTGTTATAAATTCCGTTGCGTTATGATTTTTTATTTATCCCTGTTACAAAGTTGGATACCTGAATTAAAATTAAACATTGTTACAGTATTGATTTTAACTTTTTCTAATTTCTTGTTTGTATCGTTATAATAATACTGTTAAAGAATATCATTGAGGGAGAATCTTGCTGACTCCCTCAGTGATATACTTTAAATGTTTACTGTCTTCATTATATATGTATGGACAATAATATCATTTTGACACATTCAGGGTTATCAAAAGGGTTTCTTTTGTTCGCAATCAGCTCTCTGAGAGAAAGGAAGAGAAGGAGAGAGTTGATTTTTATTAAAGCAAATGTAAGTAGGTTATTACTGATTAATAAAAAGAAGTGTGATTTTCGCAGTTAGATTTAAAATAAGACAAAGCTACACGACTCTACTTTTTATTTCTTTTTATAAGACATCGGTGTCAAAGCGCTCTTGATTTTTTAGTTTCATGACAAATTTTCTAAACTAAAATAACAAATATTAACTAATGCTTCATCAATATAATATAGTATTGCAGAAGGGGATTTTCTTCATTCACACATGATGCTTCTTTAAATGAAGTGTTTATTACATTGAACATTGTCCAAAAAGGAAAAAAATAATAATCGGCCTACACATACATCCAAAGTTGTAACGGCTCTGAAAATTGCAAAGTTTCAATCGTATATGCAGGGGGGGGGGGGGTGCAGTTGGATTATACTGCGATTGTCGATGCCAAAATCTGTTGAACATTAAGACGGCACGAATAGAACATCGTTTACAAAAATAGATACGGATCCAGCATAAATGATTCATGATCTCACGAATTCACTTCTTTATCAAAACGGTGTCATTTTGTGGACTTCCGCTCAATAAAAACATGTGATTTTTGTTATCAGTATCATTTAGTATTGCATTTAAGGAAACTAAAAACACTTTTAACACGCATCGACCATATTTACAGCATATCTCACAATGTCATAACTATCACTAGAGTATTATTGTTGTAGTAAATTTTTCGAAATATCAAAATGTTCATTCACACTTCACACTTTCTATCGAGTTATGACTACTGTCTTATACTCTATTTGACTGCACCAAGAATGATAACTCGTTTTTTAAATTATGCCTAATCGATATTGTTTATCCTTTCTTAATACATTAAAAAGGATTAACTTTTAGCCCTAACTTCACTAAATATATACTCTATCGAAAAGTGATACTTAACCTAAAAATCACTGACGAAAGAAAAATTACTGGAATCGATTTCTTAACAAAACTGTCGCCAGAAAACGCAATCAAGATGGCCGAAATGAAAGGATACAAATAAAACGAGCAGTAAATGGGTTTTGACGTTCATCTGAGTACAACCAGTTTCTCAGACTATGACCAACTCAGCCCAGTCTAGAAATCATTAAAAAAAAAAAAAGGAAAATTGAAAATTGTCCGAACTCGAAAATCCTATATCGTGGGGGAGGGGGTGTAAGGTTCCAACTTATTTCAGTACCAAATTTTATTCATACACTACTACAAAACCCATATTTGACTATTCTACAACAAAAAGGGGGGGGGGGGCAACCGGCCTTTCAATTAACATTTCAAATAGTAAAAAAAAGTCTTTGGAAAAAAGGGAGGAAGGGGCAGGCACCCCCTCCTGCCCCCCCCCCTTTTCTACGTGCCTGCATTCTAGCTACGTTTTCACAAAAGCTTATAAACAGTTGTGCTTTTTGCTCAACACATTTCACTGGTTTTTTTTGTTCTGAATACAGCCGTATTTTTTTTTTATTAAATACTAGACCTATACATACATGTAAGGCGTGAAAAGCAAATTTTTGCTAAAGTGTGCTGATAAAATTACGAGTAAATGTGCGTATTCGCTTCTTTTATCCTTTATGAAAATGGAAACGGAGTACCGAAAGTACAAAAACAGATAAAGAGAAAGCGTCAATGAATGCAATTTGTATATGTTTTCAATATTTCTCAAGTTGTTTGGAGGTAGGAGCTTTTGGTTTGTGCCGTATATCTAATTCTTCGAAACTAACGGCGGAATTTTGAACATGAAATATATAGAGATAACGAGATAACGAGCAGTATTCAAGCTCAAAAATTCATTGAACAATACATAATAGGAGCAGAGCAAACACGGACCTCCAAAACATCAGAGGTGGGATCAGGTGCCATGAAGGAGTGAGCATCCCCTGCCGACCGGTCACATCCGCCGTGTGCTCCTTGTCATGATCGGAAAATAACGGGAAAATGCGTCGACAATTCAGTGTGTAAATAATGGCCTACCAATTAATATGAAAAAAGTCAGGTAGCATTTGACTGAATGATAAATTGTAATATTTCTTCGCTTTAAGCCTATAGTTAACTGTGTTGAAATTACAATTTATATTATTGGAACTCTTTCGTCAGCAATGGTAAAAATTCAGTTGCCTGTGCATTCGCAGGATTTCATCTAGTCATAGTATATTTTGAAAGTTCTTGTCACAGGTAATGTAGATATCGAATATGAAAGCCCTATTTCTTCCATTTTAAAATTTTTGACCAAGGTAAAAGTAATGTTAAGTCTTTGAAAAGTTTGGAAAACTTCAAGGTGAATTTCACTGGTCCAAAAATCGTAGTACATGTATCTGGAAAGGTCTTGTCACAGGTAATGTATATGTGAAATATGAAATCCCTATCTCTTTTCACTCAAAAGTAAAGACGAAGGTTAAAGTGTTTGAGACAGACAGGCGGAGAGACGAATGGGATTTAACGTCCCCCGCTTTCGCGAAAGCGGGAGACAAAAACATATTAAAAGCACCTTAATTTTTTGTAGTGTTCGGCTAATAGACACAGGAAATAATAAATCAAACAAAATATTACATATTTAATTGTCCTTGCCCTTAAGTTACTTTTCCTTTAAACACAGAATATTTTAATGAATTTACATATAATGCAGTATAAAATGTACTGTTTGCGCATTAAATTTTCAAGTCCACTTTCTCATCCTGTTTACTCTTACAACATGTCACACACATGAATTGACTAATAATTCTGTCATAGGGTTCGAGAGAGTGAAGCCATAAAGGCAAAAACTCCCAGTTTTGAAGCTTTCTAGGAAGGCAACCAGGCGCCTTGATCTGTAGAATGTTGACAAGGATCACAATTACCAGTAAGGTCAATAGAGGTATTCCTACCGCCATAAATATGACAGGGCCAGCTCGCGATAAACCGAAGACACCCCCAGGAAGTACAAAAAACATCCCGACTAGGTACACGATCGCAAACCATCGATACATAGCAGTTGTGTTCCCAAGTTTTTTTGCCAGGTAAATGGGGACCTTTCGTATGAATGGTAATGGGTAAAAAATTAAAGTGCCCGTAATGTTGAAGAACAAGTGACAAAGGGCTACTTGTAATGTTAGATGAACTTCCGTTTCAGACACAGCAAGAGCAGCTAAAATACCGGTGACTGTAGTACCGATGTTGGCACCTATCGTAAGCGGGTACATTCTCTCAAGGGATACGATCCCAACTCCAACGAGGGGTGTCAATGTTGAGGTAAATACTGAGCTACTTTGGATAATCATTGTCATGCCTAGAAATTAAAAAAAAGAACGTATTTTTATTTGACAAGTAAAACGCTAATGTTATTTTCTTCTCTTCGAAAAATGTCAATTTTTATAAACATACATGTATACCATAATGGGAAAAGGACTCGGTTATACTCAGGTACGTCTGATCCCATTTAATATTCTTTGTTCTAAATTTAATTATAATAAATGCATAACCCTGTCAAATTGTAATTGTCGATTACTGTTTGATGCAATGCCACATTAATTGAACATTATAACAATTGAAGAAAAAATAATCTTGTCACCTGTCCCAATTAGAATGGCAAGGTATCCCGTCAACCATGCTAGTTTCCCTGGAAAGTCAGCGTTGATAAAACGCTTGACAAGAGATGCCATGGTTCCTTTGAACAAGGAATTTAAAAGCTTCACAACAATGAATAAACATAAAACAATTAACAGTAAAGCTGCAATGGTCAAAATAATCCCGGCTTCTTCGTCAGTAAGATTGCTGAGGGCGAATAGGTTTTTGCAGCGGGTGTTCCCAGTTACATTTTTTGGAAAGCAGGTATCTGTAAATATAGAGCCTACAATATATCACCTTGTCAAGTTTACCAAATGCAATAAAAAAAATACACATCTTTTATTTAGGCACCGCTCAGCGAACGCCCAAAAATAACCCTTCCGTCTGACTGATATAAATTTGGTTATAGTTTCCTCCTTTCCTCTTGGTCCAGTCGCTTATAATTTTTTCACAGAGTGCTCGTTGTAGCCCTGACCTTGACCCAAATTTCTGTGTAAAAGATGAATGTCGAAGATGTTTTATCAAAATACTTGTTTTGGCGTGTTTATTTTATATTCTGCCTTAATAAGTTTGAGTTTACATTGAAACAATAGAGTTAAAAGGTACGCAAAGTCTGAACCAAGTCAAACATTAAATTTTAAGTTACTGGTAACCAGATTTTGTAAAATCTAGACTTCTGGAGTAATTATATATTTTTTCTCTATGCAAAGTTTAACACCAACATAAATATGTGAAAAAAATTCAGTGACTATGTGCAATTTTTTTTTCATCTCTATTATTGAAGATCATTTATAAACTATTCTGTAAAAATATTTGTTTAAGATTCCAGTCATTATTAATTTGAATAGATTTCACCATTTCATTTCTTTTCCAACTCTTTTCTATGATAACATTCAAATACATAGTCCTGGCTGTAATGAACTTTTTAGAATGCTATTTTAAGTTTTTTGTATGAAGACTCTTTGTTCACTTAAAAAAAAGATAGCAAAATCTTATCCTTATTTGAAGAGGAATGCCAAACGTTCCTTTCCAATAACCCAATATTCATTTTACTTGCTCACTATTTTAATGATGCATGTATCTAGTTGGAGACTTGATATACTTGTGAGTAAGTGACACAATTTTTTTCTCTACATGAAAAAAATTGTTTATTGACACTACTTGATCTTCGATGGAAAAACGATAAACAAGGACAAGGCATGTTAACGGCCGAAATATGCCATTTGTTTGATATAAATATCAAACTGCAGTTAAAAATTATCACTTGATAAATTGCTATTAACCAACCTATATGATGCTTGTTTTAAAAACGGCATATATTTTGATTTAAAGTGTAACTGGAGGCCACAAGAGGGTGACAAATTAGACCATTTTACCTAATTTCCTCAATTCTGATGGAATGTGGTCGCATTTGAGATATTTTTCACTACTGAACCAAAAGAGCACAAGCTTGTCTGAGATTTTCATACACAAGGTGTATGTGATACTAGTGTATGGAATATGTAAATTTAGTAGATAGGAAGTTTGTACTTTTTTCTGAAAAAAAAAAGAATGTGCTTTAAAATTGCTAAAAATTTGAATAAAGCTGAGAAAATTCGGAAATTGAACTTTCTGTGACCTCTATAAATTCATCATTTAATATGAATATACATATGCATTTGGTACCAGGGTTTTTTGATTATGAACTATCGTATCATCCTTAAACACCCAAAATAAGGGGCCAAATAGGAATCCTAGCTTATCTTGTTTTTTGCAATTGCAACAGTTGTATTTTTTCCTCCTATATTTCATGCAAGTGACTATATTTCTGCAAACTACATTATCTTACAGAGAAAGTGATCTACGACCATAAAGTATTACCTTCAAGATTAGTTGTAATCTTTATTTTGTCACACCATCTTTTCAACACTGATCGTGATGTGCCATTTAAGTGCACAGCCTTGCATTTCAATGCAGTTTTGTCAATCTGAAATGATATCTTTTGGTACAGAAAATCGTTACATGTATAACCTAGAAACAAAATACTTAATGTAAACACGTTTATAATTACTCATGACAATAAATGATTTCAAATTACATAAAATTTTAAAATAGAAAAAGTCAGTGGGTTTTTGAAAAAGAACGAATATTGTCAGCGGCTGTGATGATTCAATTGCACCATGTTTTATAGGAGGAAACAAATTTTGAAATGAAAACACCTTTTCTGCATGTGTCAAGAAAATCGAGATATATCGTATGGAAATCTGAAAATGACTTTCTTATTATTACCTGGACAAACAAGCGAATAAACGGTTTTGTGATGGTCTTCAACAAATCCTTTTTCGTCTTGGAAGAACCTGCAGTGTCAATGGAATCTACTAATGCTTTCGTTAAATGATATAAATACCCAGAAACAACTTCAAGGGGTAAGAGAACGATAACGCACATCCAATTGAATACGTCATGAATTGTGGCGCCACCAAAAGCCTTTCTAAACTCTTCACGTGATCCTGCCTGCGCCAATGAAACTATTGTATTGGTTACCGTGGTGCCGATGTTTGAACCCATGACGATAGGGATAGTTTGTTTCACAGGAATTGCTTAAAGACAAATGTTCATACTCAACATTTTAACATAAATACATAAGGATATTCATAACAAAAATATAACCTTTTTAAAGGGTTTTGATGCTTAAAATTCCAATTACTTTTGGTTCCAGCCAATGCAATAACTATTGAAACCGTTGTTGATGAACTTTGAATTAAAGCTGTCGCCAAAACCCCAATCATTAATCCTGCTACTGGATTCGAGAGCACTTCGTTTTCCTTAAAGATTTTAGCATTTGTTTCACCTGTAAAGTATAAACATAAATGATGTTCCTGCTCATTCAAATGATAAAATGTGAGGAAAGCAACATTTTTGTGTGTTCAAGCCCAAAATGTTATATCAGTCTGTCAATTTTTAAATAGGAAATCTAGGAACAAAAATTACCGAACCCCCACCCCGTTTTCCACACACGTGTTCCCATTCCTTCACAATGAAAATAATTATTGTCTGCCAATTATGCAAATGAATGAACACGGAGATCATTTACCTCCAAGAAGTTGAAAAGCATCCGTTAGAAATCCGAGAGCACAAATGAAAAGGTAAACAAAAACCAGCAAAATGACAGTCTTCACAAGAATTGAAACCAACAGCTTTGCACGCTTTGAAGGCGGCAACTCTGGAAAAAAGTATATACTTCATTTTTTTTCAACTACACTAGGGAATAAATCAATGGTCATTTGAAAGTACAAATAATTCTTAGTGTTAATGTATATCGAACCTTTCCAGCTGATGGTTCCATCCAGATCCAGAGTTACTGCCCAGGGATCAGTGTATTCTACAGGATCTTTTGGGTTTTCATGCAAGTCTCTCCCATCCTTGAATCATTCAATATTTTAAGTCATTTACATGTACATGTCTTGGCAGCTGATTTTTCACATGAAATGGATGAGCATATCTGATGAAAATTTTATATAAAACAAGAGGTTAAAAGTAAAAACTTAAAATTCAAGATTTTCTTATAAGTAAAGAATGTCTTTAAAAATGTTATAATTTTTACCTTTGCTTTTATGTTTTCAAGTTCCATGTTTCCCAATGTGGTGCTTATTAACGTGATGTGCATTAATGATTGAGCTTGGGGAGAACTTTTGACCTGATTGGCAAGTATTTCCGCCTATGGGAATTCCCTCATTAAAAGGCCAAATCATGTAATTATTTGTGATTTTCTAATTGTGTATCATATGTCGTTACTATTTCTTAATGCATTTTGGATAAAGTGTTTTCAATCTTGAAATCATTAAATTTTATGGTATGATTTCATCAAGATTTTGTTGAATCGTCGTTTCAAACAGAAACGATGTTCGTTTTCAAAATCATAAAGTGTTTGGGCATCTTTTTTTTACCAGATGTAGTTGTATTTAAAGTTTTGCAGAAATCTGCTCTTCTTGTTCTAACTTTTCCATTTATTTTGAACAAATGATGAGGATATCTCTGAAGAATTACCAAACATTTATTTTAAGTGTAAAAAAATTGAGTTAATCAGACTATGTGAAAATTTTATAAATGAGGCCATTGTTTTGTTGGTATTCTATTAACTCCGTATTTACATGGCACATAAGTTAAAAAAAAATTGCGCGATGATGAAAGACATTTCATGTCCGTTTCTTAACTAGGTAACATTCATAAATTATTTTGCTATGAAATGAATAGAAAAATATTAGTTATAAACTCATCAGATTTCTTGGTTATTATTCCCGAAAATCTTGTATAAAAAGTATCGTATAAGTAAAACTTAAACTATACATTAAATGTATGATTTGGTCACTATCTATCGGGGCACCAGCTAATGAATTGCACCGTAGAGCACCAGAAACAGATTGACAAATGTCTTTGCTCTATGTGTTTATACTTGTCAAGGCTATTAGTAGACCGTATTAGACAAACTGATTCATTACCATTTATAAAACCTTTTCGGCAATGATACAACATGCCTTTGTCGATACAAGAGCGATAAAAGTCCCTGTATATGTAATAACAAAACAAAAACAACATGTGGTAAATGTCACCAACTTTTTCCGCTTTACATGTGCAGATTGTTATCAAACAGAAAAAAAGGAACTAGAATTTATAAATTGGTATATCTTAATCTATCAAAACAACAACAGTCACATAAATCTATCTTTGTACACCGAACCGCTAAAAAATGAGTCATTCTGGCCTTGCTGAGCATAGTTTGGGATTTTGGAGATTTTCTTCTTAATTATATCTATGTTAATCTGAGACTTCCAATTTGTAGCCCCACATTAGTCCTACATGGAGATATTTGTTTTTAAAATGATTAATTGAAGAGAACTTTAAAGAATGTCCTTTAAATTAATATGTTTCTATGTCCCTCCGATGGTCCAACTCTAGCCCAGGGGCCATGATTTAAACAAATTTCAATATACACAATATAAATAAATAAATACACTCAACTTCTTCGTGCTTCATTGATTTTCAAGAAGTTTTTCAAATGACCCCACCCTATTTTTTTTTTAACTGAATAATATCTTGCCTTTGCAAAGAACATGAGCCTTTCATTGGTCAAATTTAGGGGGATTTGCAACGTTTCTGATTTATGGACAGGATTATCCAGTTATCTTTCAATGGTTACTAATGCATATTACCAGACAATAACTGGCTCAACCACCACCCCTTTCTATACTCTTAATTTCAAAAATTGCTCAAAATATACATTTGTCAATTAAAATTGATTTCAATGTAAATTAAGAAATAAGTTTATGTCATTTATTGTGAAGGAGCAAATTTTGAATAAGATGTTTAATTAATAATTACATGATACACATTATCGTGCGTTAATTAATACGATATCCTGATAAAAATTAAATATTTACCAATGTACTTCTGTTTGCTTCTCTTTACTATTTTAGAGTTACTGTCCTTTGTTTCACCGTATTCAACTATTAAAAAAATACAAAGGTTGTAAATTGCACATTTAAGAACTCATTCTTTTAAGGTATATACAAAGTTTACCAATGATTTTCTTATTACATGTCACCCTTGCTTTGCCTTCATTTGTTCCCAGAGAGCAGTTGGAACACACCATTTTTAGAGTCTCTTTTGTAAGCCAATAAAAGGTGAGATAAAGTCCAGACTTTGCAATGCGTGTCATCATCAATTTGGAAATGACATGATTGTCCATTAAGCAGATAATGAATTGTTTTTCTGCACTTTCTCGTGATATTGAATAACCTTGATACATGATCAAGTCAATTGGAAAAAAAACTGTGTTGTAGGAGATCCGACGAGAATTCACAAGTTGTAGGAGAGTTTTTGCATCAGATACGAATCATGTGCACAGTAGTATTCCCGGTTTTAAGGAAAGATTTTACCAAATCAAACTGATTGTATGAGGAAGCCCGGGCACACTTTTTCTAAATAGTGAAAGAGTATACGACAAATCCTTGATAACTTTCCCTGCATCAACGTTTAGTTTGTTTGCAATTAACGCACAAAAGACAGTTGCATCAAATCTAGCATTATGAGCTATTGACATTACAGACTTGTGAATAGTAGAAATCAGTGCAAAAAGTTCCTAAATCCTTTATATGGGGATGTTGCTTGAACTGGTAAAAATTCATCTTCCATATACATTTGGTTCCCAGCAACAGTAAGACCTGTCAGAGCAATAGCACTGTAGTGGAGTTGTATTTTTTTATGAGAGTTATCTCTCTTAGTTCTCGGAAGAAGTGCGCGGTTGTCATTGACAACCGGTGCTATCGTCTGAGAACCGGGCGTATCCATTCCGTTCCCTGGTCTTTCCGTGTTCTCTTTTATTCAAATACAGACGTTTTTAGGAGTTTGTCTCCTCTTTATTTATTTATCTGTTTACTGTCGTAATTATATCCATATTTCGAAGCTGAATCTATTTATAGGTAAATATATCCACCACATTTCCCTTGAATTTCATTGTTTACTTGAATTATTTTGTTATTTGTTGATTAATTAAATATCATTTTATTAAATAAATCAGTCATTTATAATATCTGAATAATTGTTGCTGTTCTTTATTGTTTACGATCTAGTATCTCGTGATAATCCGGGATAATTTAAGTGTATTATAACAGACCATTGTTACAGAAATTTTAGGGGCTTTGTCCACGGGATACTAAGATCATGTCGATTTGTTGAATTCATTTTCTTTTTTCCGATTTCGGATTGAATATCTTAGAAATTGTGTGTGTTATTCAGATTGTATGCAATGGCTTCACGTTTATTTTCTAGCCTTACGGCTCTTAGTACAAGTTTGCGAAATTTGTTTTCGCCATGTCCTACAAAAAATGTAGAAAATAATCTGACACAAAATGCAAACAACAATGATGTGACGGAAACCATTAGTGAAAGAAAAGCTTTACCTTGTACCTCTTCCTCCGAAGCCGCGAACAATCAAGACCAGTTTCACGACGCGGTTAAGTTTCAGAATTAAATGCACACACATAGCAACAGATATAGAGGTTTATCCTCATATGAATCTCAAAATCACCATCGACTTCAGTCACCAAGAAACACAGGAGATGTTTGTGAAACATGTACTCATGTACATGATATTGTATTCATGCATGGAGTGATTAAAGTTATTGTTTTGAAGTACATTAGGTCATAGTACCATAGTCATGATTAAAATATTTCGGTGTAGCATAGTGATCAGATCATTGCAATCTGCATATATATATATATATATATATATATATATATATATATATATATATATATATATATATATATATATATATATATAATATTTGCTATATTTGTTTAAACATAGGCTTGCTGTTTTAGAGTCATTGTATACTGGATAGCTTGATACCTACATATACAACTATTGCATACTGGATAGTTTGATACCTACACATAGTTATAGTATATACTGGTTAGTTACCTACATATAGGAACTGATTGATGAAATGATGTGAGATATATTCTCGAAATTGATCGAGTAAATTTTTGTATTTTTTTTTTAAATATGACCTTTTGTCATTACGACATTTTAGATGGGTACGAGTGTATGAATAGATTTTCCCTTGGAAATCACATATTGATACTACAGAAAATTTATATAAAAAAAAAGAACAATACACTTTATTAGTGATATAAAATGTGAAGCAATATGTTTGTTATTTCACAAACTATGTATTTATTTGTTTACAGTTCCATTTTGATCACCAATTATTCATTATTACAACATTGTCGTCATCATCATCATTTGATCCCGTCATCATCATCACCGTTTGATTCTGTCATCACCATAATCGTTTGGTCATGTCATCCATCATGGACACTGATGTCCTAGACCTATTGGTCCAAGATGAGGATCTTGAGGAACTTCTGATGTCGTCATCCTGCCCTTTTGTGTTTCACCAAGGAATGAACTTGGGAACTCTATTTTAGAAACATATACGGGATAGTTAAAAGTAAAAGACCTATTAGTGTTTTTGTATGGATTAACAAGTTAGATATTGCTAAGGGTATCCTTGACAGTGGCGAGACATACAATAATTGTAAAGCAGCTATTTGTTTCATGAAGAATATTGCTGATGTAGAACGAGAGAGCATTTTACAGTCAGTAAAGAGGACAAAGTTCTTTAGCCTTAAAATGGATGGGTCTACAGATGAAGCCACAATGGAACAGGAGACACTTTTTGTAAGTGTTTGTGTTCAGGGTGATGTTGTTACAAAATTCCTGACAATTGGAGAGCCAGTCTCAACTTCTTCTGCTGACTTGCATACATTTGTTACTACCATTTTGAAGATATGCTTCTCATCTGCAGAACGAGTCCCATACCAACCAAAAAGCAGAGGGTCTGGTTAAAATCATGTGCAACTTTCAAATGATTGTTTATGCCACAGTGTTACTGGTATATTGTAGTGTACATACTTAAATTTAAAGTAGTATTTCAGATATCTCTTATTTATTATCTATACCAGTATAATAACAATTTGAAAATTAATTTTCAGTAAATATGTTTTGTCGGTTGTAGGATGGTCAAACTGTCCCTCTTCCTTCAAACCAGAGATGTAACTCTGGCT